CCCCCTGCTGTCGTCCTGCGACATACCCAACGCGTTCCCTCGCTCCGGCAGCGTCCACGTCACGGTGCGGGAAAAGATCTCGGTCACGGGGAATCGCGATGGCGGGCTCGACTCGCTCGAGATCAAGGGCGACATGGTGCTGCGGATCACGGATGCGTCGCTGGCCAAGCTGCGCGTTGCGCTGGGCCCGGCGAGCGACTCTGTGCTGCAGAGCGGGGGCGAGATCCAGTTCAAGACGAACCCGCAGGTGGACAAGGCGGCGTGGACGACGGAGCGGGTGATTGCGCCCAAGGACGCGCGCCGGCCGTTCCCCGTCAACCAGAACCTGGGCCTGCTGCGGTGGCGCGTCGTGACGCGCGACGAGACGGTGGTGCCGCTGTCGATCAACTGCTGGCCCTCGCCCAACGGCCAGGGCGGGTGCGACGTGAGCATCGAGTACGAGCTGGAAAACGACGAGCTCGACGAGCTGCGCCACGTCGTCATCTCGATTCCCTTGCCCGACGACGCCTTCCCCTCGGTGGGCGAGTGCGCCGAGGGCACCTGGGCCGTCAACGAGGCCACCAACGCCCTCGAGTGGAGCCTCGACTCGATCTCGTCGGCCGACAACAAGAGCGGAAGCCTCGAGTTTAGCGTGTCGAGCGGCGCCGACGACGTCGACGTCTTTTTCCCCGTCCGCGTCGACTTTGTCTGCCAGAGGACGCTGTGCCAGGTCCAGGTGAGTGGCCGAGTCGGCTCTGTTTCGAGCGAGCGAATGCAATCCGCTGACCCAGCCCCGCGCGCGCCCCTCCCCCCTCTTTCCCTCGTCCCCACGTCCCGCACCGCCCCGCCCCGCCCCGCCCCGCCCGACTCGCCGCTCTCGACTCGCACAGGTCGCCAGCGCCACCCTGTCCGAGACGGGCGCCGCGACGCCCTTTTCGCAGCAGAGCGTCCTCAGCGCCGACAACTACATTGTCGCCTAGACCCGGTCTGGCCGGGGCGCGCCAGTCCCCTCGACCCTGTCGCTGCACCCTGTCGCTGCTGCACGCATCAGGCAGCCCGATTGATGAGATGAGATGCGATGCGATGAGATGAGACGAGACGAGTGGCAGCGAGCGAGCGCCTCGGCTAGCCTTGTAGAATACACACGAACGATGGTGAGATTTCCGCGCGCGACGGAGGGAGGGTGCGCGACGAGGGGGTGCTGCGGCATCTTGTTCCTATTGACGTCGCACCGACGGGCGGCGGGTGGGTCTCTTGAACGGCACTAGGGCGAGGGGGGAAAAGACAGTGTCCGGCCATCGAAGCCTCCCGGCGCCGGCGCGTGTCACTTAGTGGTGCAGCTCGCCCTTTGCCTGGGCTCGTGCCACCTTGGCGAGCACCTCGACCTGTCCCGCGACGCAGCGAAGGGTATCGAGCACGCGCCCGTTTCCCTCTACAAAGGCATACTCCTCGTACCTCAATCCATGGTCTCGGCAAAAGGGACGGACGAACTGATCGCGAAGCCGACGCAGATTGTGGCGCGGCACGCGCGGAAAGAGGTGGTGCGAGACCTGCATGTGCAGTCCGCCGTGGACAAAGTCGAGCCAGGGCGGGCACGAGACGTCCATCGTGGTGCGGATCTGGCGCGATGCAAAGCTCTCGCTCAGCCCGAGGTCCGCAGACGACTGCGCAAAGTGCGACAGCACAATCTGCACGTGCAGCGGCGACGTGACGACGTGGCTCACCACGACGTAGGCCGCCACGTGGCCCCACGTCGGTAGACTGCCCACTACCAGCGCGCCGTACCACGTCCAAAAGGCCAGGATGCCCGACACCTCGAGCAACATCCACCCGTCGCGCCGCGCGTGCAGCGCCAGGTAGCCGTACGAGTTGGCGTACAGGTTGAACCGCCCCAGCGACATGACGACGTAGTAGAGCTGGTGCTGGAAGCGCAGAAAGAAGCGCGCCGCAGCGTCAAACTCGAGCACGCGCCGGTAGTACGACGACCACAGGCCCAGCGGGCGCGTCGTCGCCGGCTCGGCCGGTGCGCCGACGCGTGCCGCCTTGCCGTCGCCGTCGCCGTCGGTGACGTAGGCCGTCTGACCGGCCAGGACAAACTGGGGCGAGATGGCGAAGAAGGGCATGTGCTGGATGTCCGGGTCGTGCTCCGGGTGGTTGGTGACGAGGTGGTGGACGTCGTGGTTGTTGCACCACCAGCCGATGCTGAGGCCGCCGATAAAGTCGGCAATGACGGTGCCAATCAGCCGGTCGACGGTGTGCGAGTGCGTGATGCCGCTGTGGCCCGAGTCGTGGGCGGTAAAGGTGAGCTGGTGCCAAAAGAGGCCGAGGAAGACGGACGAGAGCAGGTACGACACCGTCGAGGCCGACATGCCGAGCAGCGTGGTTGCGGCGGCCTGGCCAGTCTGCTGAGCCGCTCGCTCCACGGCTAGCTGGGCATGACCCCGGCCGAGGAACCACCATGCGGCGGCGCCGAGGGCGGCGTACCGAAGGCACTCGCGGGCGTAGCCCGAGGGGCGCAGGTCGTAGAGGCCGGCCGCCTTGACCTGCTGGTGCATCTCCTTGTAGGCCGCCGAGATGGCGCGCTCGCGGGCGGCGTCAATCGAGGGCGGGTCCGGTGGCGGTTCGAGAATCTCGACGGGCAGCGGAAAGGTCTGAGGTCTCGAGATGTGCCGAGGCTGCGGTGCAGAGGCACTCGCGACTGGCTGCTTGGCCGGCTGCTGGTGGCCGCCGCGCGTCCGCGCCCCGAGCATCACTTCGACCTCGTCCGAGTCCGGGTCGCGGGACTCCTTGCCGTGCCACATTGTGATCTGAGCATGCGGGTGGTCGAGCTTGCCCTTTCGGTAGCCAAGCTGGACGGGGGGCACGAGGGGTCGGTAGGAGTTCCACTCGTCGTGGTCGAGGTAGCCAATGACGAAGCGGCTCATGAGCTTGTCGAGGGTGTGCTGGGAGTGGTAAGCCTCGATCTCGTCGGATGCGTCCCTGCCGACAAAGTGGAGGATGGCGAGCTCTCCGCCCGGATGGCGCTCGAGCCAGCTGTCGAGCTTGTAGATCTTGCGGCGGTGGAGGACGAGCGTCTCTCCATTTGCGATGCGCTGGGCAAGCTGGGCTCGGGTCAAGGTGCGCGGGGTGCGGGAGTGAGACTTTTCGGTTGCCGCTGCGGAGAGGGGTGCTGCTGTGGTAGCTGTGGCGGTGGTGGTGGCAGAGGTGGCCGTCATAATGGTTGTTGTCGTCGCCGGCTGGGCGGTGTTGGTCGAGAAGGGGGCGGTAGAGGGTCGATAGAGGGTCGGTAGAGGCCGGCGGTGGAAGGGGCGTGACCTGCACGCTCGAGGACCGGCCTGGGTCGGAGGCAAGCCGCGTTAGGGGAAGTGTGGGAAGGGGGAGAGAGACGAGCGGTGCCTGCGCCAGAATCAGGATGCTACGGTGTGGGCGCCTCGAAGGATGGTGGTGGTCGGTGGCGTTGGTTGAGAAGAAGGAGCACGTTGGCGGGCCTGGAAATTTGCGCTTCCAGCGGCGAGATTCTCGCCCGCCCCCCGCACGCACGCACGCACGCACGCACGCACTGCCCCGCCCCGTTCCGCCCTGCGCCGGCCCGCACGAGCCAGGCAGCCAGCGAAACACCTCCAAACCAAGAGAGAGCAAAGAGCCGCTCGCTGCCCACGCTGCACAACCTTCTCAAGCCTCGTTCCTTCCTTCCTCCCGACACCGCCACCACCACCACCACCTCGGCCACCATACGCCCTTTCGCCACCGGCCATGACGCGCACCTCCCACTTCCCCACCGATGCCCACATCCCCGTCTACTCGGTCGACTTTCTCTCGGACAATGTCGTCGTCTACGCCGGCGGCGGCGGCGCAGGCAGGTCGGGCGTCACAAACGCCATCGTCGCAGCCCACATCTCGACCTCGGACCAGTCGACCACGAAACTCCACGAGCTCAAGCTTTCCCGGCAGGAGGACGCGCCCATGACCATGGCCGTCAATTCCAAGCGCAGACAGCTCGTATGCGGCATCAACTCGACCCCAGACGACATCAAGCACGGCACCAACCGCCACCTCCGCATCTTTGACTGGTCCCTCAGCTCCCCCGACGACGACGACAAGGCGACAGGGAAGCAATCGCAGAACCAGAGCCAGCAGCCCAAGGCAGAAGGCAAGATCACCGAGCTGCCCTCGGTCACCATCCACCAGGCAAAGGCGGAATCCTCGCTCGCCATCACCGACCCAGAGCAGTACCAGAAAGTCACCCGCTTCAGCCACAGCGGAAGGTTGCTCGCCGTCGCCAGCACAGACGGAAAGGTGCGCAGGCGCCCTCCAGCTTCCTGCTCCTCCCGCACCGTCGCTCGTCGCCCCATTGCTGACCGCGCAGACGAGTCTGCTCCTCTGTTTGCCTCCCCCTCCACCTCGCCCATTTCCCCCTGCCTGCCCTGCAGATTGCACTGCAGCGCTACCCGTCCCTCGCCCACGTCTGGAAGACGTCGACGGACGAGACCAACGCCACCCTCGCTGCATCGACCTCTGGCAGCGCCTCGGCCACTGACCCAGGATCCAGCACCACTGGCGTCCCCTCGCAGGACTTCAAGGACGACGAAATCTACGACGCCGACTTTTCCGAGACGGGCAGCCACATCGTCTTTACCTCGTCGTCGAAGCTGGTCGTCTACTCGACCACGCCCCGCGCCACGCCAGACACGCCACAAGGCGGCTCGTCGCCCCAGCAGCGCCCCCAGCTGGACGGCGACGGCGATGGCGACGGCGACGACGACGACGACTCTGCGGCCGACGAGCCGGGGTACGCCCAGGTGATCCAGACGATCAAGAACCCGGCTCTGGGCGGCAAGGGCCCGTGCTCGTTCCGCGCCGCCCGCTTCGGGCGCGGCGATGCGTCGCGCGAGCGGCTGTTTACCGTCGTCAATGCCGCCCCGGCCGGCGGGCGCGGGCCCAAGGCCAAGATCCGAAAGAGCTTTGTCACGGCCTGGGACGCCGACAGCTGGGACCTCATCGAGACGAGGCACGTCTCGGACCGTCCCGTGACCGTGTTTGACGTCAGCCCGGACGGCAGGTTGCTGGCCTACGGCTCGTCGGACCTGAGCGTCGGCGTACTGGATGCAAAGACGTTGCGGGTGAGTGGCGGCCCTCCTTTCCCGGTCCACCCATTCCCCCCAGCTGCCGCCGTCTTGCGCTCCAGAGAAGGAACCAGGTCGACTGATCTCACACTCCCTCTTCCTCCACTCGTCGTCTCCGCCGGACACTCAACCTCATCCTCGTGCCCGTGCCGGTTCGCCCTGCCACAGCCGCTAGTCAAGATCCTGCACGCGCACGACTTCCCACCAACGACGCTGCGCTTCAACCCCTCGTCGACGCTCCTCGTCTCGGCATCGGCCGACAACACGCTGCGCATCATCCAGGTCCCCACGCCCGGTTCCTCTGCCGGCGGCGGGGGCGGCATGGGCGGGGTCGAGGCGCTGATTCAGGCCAGGGGAGGCGTCTACCTCAGCATCCTGCTTGCCCTCATCGCCATCGTACTCGCCCTCGTGGCGCAGAAGAGGTTCTAGAGAGCGCGTTCCCGCGCCCCCCCGCTTCCCTCTTTTTCCGAGGTCGAGACGCGCTATCGTCCTCGGCTGGCAGAGGGGCCGGGGTTACGGTAGATGACGCGAGCAATGAGGCCGGTACGACGCTGCAATGGGACGCTCGGGTTCCTCCTCCATCGATGCAGTGTTTTCCATCGGTCCAGTGTCGGACCGCGCCACGCCGCGGGGTGGGGTGCTGCCTGCGACTGTGCGGATAGCTCGTGGTGGTGGTGAGAAGAGGGAAAGAGGACCCGAGGTTTCCAGAGTAGGTGCGCGTGCAAAGACGACAGAGGAGGGGAGGGAGGGCAAGGGAACGAGATGTCGAGGCGGCGACGGGAGGAGAGAGGATGTACCCCAAAGAAAGGACGGACGGAGGGATGAGGGACAAGTGACGAGGGGCGCGAGGGGAGGAAGGGGGGGGGGGGGGGAAGGCGAGCGAGAGATGCGCGCCGGCCAAGAAGGCCATCTAACGAGCCTCGTCACCGGGGCGTAGCACTCGACGGCGTGGCTCGATTCGATCCCGACGGCGCCCCCGCATTGCCACTCGAGGGCAATTGCCGCCCCGCACCCGCCGCGACCCGCCCCTTTTTGGCGAGGAGCTTGGCAATGTACTCGCCGCAAAACGCCTTGACCTTGGTGCGCTTGTCGCCCGATAGCTCCTCGAGCGTCCCTCCACCCGGCGGTGGCCAGTACTTGGGGTTCTTCATCTCCTTTGAGACTATCACGTTGGTCAACTGGTGCGTGGCGTGGTGTCGCGTGGACGCCGCGAGTCGAGTCAGGGAATGGCATCGTTGGGTCGCGTCAGTACCGTCTGCCGTACGCGGTCCGACATCGTCCTCCTCCTCCTCCCCCTCCGCCACCGCCAGGACCACCACGCGCTACTCACCTCCTTTGCGTACTTCTTGAACGTCTCGCGCTCAAACTCGTCCTTGTGCTTCGACATCTGCTTGACGACAATCTCGCCAATCATGCGCCGCAGCCTCTTTTCGTTGCCGCCCGCTCGCGCCGCCGCCGACGCTTCGTCTTGGTCGTCGTGGTCGTCCTGACCGCCAGCCCTCGGCGTGGCGGCCACCGTCCCGTCGTCGTTGAGT